CTGTTGAAGATGAACGCTGGAGGTGATCTTGTAGACTTTCCTCGGGTCGAGCTAAGAGATTGAAGAGAAGTTCCAGGAATATTATATAGATACTGGTGTATTCTCTCTGCCTAGCATTTTTAATCAAAAAATGATCAAGAAAGAGGGGGTCCTCAGTCAACAGGAAAATCAAAAGAAAATGACTATTATTGAATCTCCTAAACGTAAAAGGGGCCAGCTCAGCGTCTAGATAGTAAGGATATATTTAGCTAATTTTCTTTTCCAATTCTGTATGGAGAATATATATAAATTTTTAATAATCGGCTCAAAAGCCAGGCAACTGTAAATTACGGACCGAGATTTTTTCCATCGATTTATGGCCCAAGCGCGAAGCGCGCGGGCCATAAATCGACGGAAAAAAACGAGGATCCGTAATTTACAGTACGGACCGAAAAAACGAGGCTAATAAGATGTTTATTATACGGCTTCTTCTAGTTTAGAAGACCGGAAACAAGTGCAGGACGCGCGATTTGACAATCATTTGACAGGCGTCAAGAAAGAAAGTTTTTATTGGCTCACGAAAACAATAGCACATAACAAAGGCTTTCCGAAGAAGGGAAAACAAATTCGCCATGTTGAAAAAGTTTATTTGGTCAAAACTAAGAGCGCTGTAAGTTCTAGCTCTTTAATGTAACGCTGGAGTATTTTGGAAAATCGGGCACTGTGTCTTTCTCGAAGTCGTTTCCATCTTTCCCCCGTTGGTCCTTGTGAAAAAAAAAAAACACTGCAAAAGGCAAAGAAGCTTTTCATGGTAAGTTTCTTGTCATTGTCGAAGGATTCGCTTGTTAATTTTTTTGGGGAAAAACCTCTCGAATTTCTGCCAGTTCATTCTCGTCTTCAAGTGTGATCTGCGTAAAAATTTTCAAACACTGACCATATTCTCTTCAACGGAAAGGTTACGATTCAGTTTCTACATCAGTTTCGTTCTCATTCAAACCAAGCTAGGTTAAAATCTGGAAAGGCATTAGTCAACATCTCAGTTCTCAGGGTTTACAGACATATTATTTAAGCATATTCGGTCAAAACTAAGAGCACTGTAATTAAGTATTTACTCGCCAATGTGACGCTGGAGTCTTTTGAAAACTGGACATTGTGTCTGGCTAGAAGTCGCTTCTATCTTTCTTTCGTTGGTCTTTGGAAAAACACTGCAAATGCCAAAGAAGCTGGCTAAGATGATCGGGTGCAGGCATGTTTGTTATCATATACTTGTCGAAGGAATTACTCATTCTCTCATAGGCAAAACATCTCGAACCTCGGCCAGTCGATTTTCGTCTTCTTCACTGTGAACTACGATAAAATTTTCAAACACTGACTAGAATCCTCTTCGATAAGATTACGCGTTAGTTTCTTCATCGCCTACGTTCGCAAATAAACACAATTTAAAATGTTGAAGAACAAAGTCAAAATCTAAGTCCTCAAGGTAGATAGACGTCTTGTAACTTTATTTCAACCTTTTTTTCCGAGGTAAAGAGATTTAGAGCTTTGAAATGAACATTTTCTTTGAAATTTTGGTCCGTATAGCGGGTTACGGACCGAAAATTGACCAATCGCATGGCGAAAACAGACTCGGTCATATAATAATAAGGAATATTCTTTGAAAACAGTTCAGGCGCTTTTCCCCTTCGTTCACAGTAAGCAAACAATATGTAGATAAGGCCAAAGCCAAGCTCTCGAAGATTCTTTTAAGAAATGTCTTTTTGAAATAATTCAGCATTCGCTATATTACAAAGCAAAAAATGGACCTAAGCCTCAGTGCAATCAACTGAATAGTCAGCGGAGAACTTTAATTGCAATTAAGGTTTTTGGGCTTCGATACGAAGAACTGTTGGCATAATTTGAGGAGGAGACTGTTATTTCAGCGATCCGCAGAGATACTAATCGGTTGTTGTGTTGTCTAATCGTAGGGCATCTATACGATTCAGGAATCTCAATTCCACTTTCCCTGTTAATGTCTAATGTTGTTAAGGTGAAGTCTTATTTGACTATAGCCTCTTTAACTCTACGAGACACGAGAGTACCAGTGAGGGTCTCGGTCAATAAACTTATCCTCTTCCCAAACTGGATAGTACCCGGTATTATTGCTGAAGTGTTCAGAAACGGCTGAGAGTTGAGTTCGTGATGCCGACAAGTTTCCCATACTACAGTGAGTGTAAGTGTCTTATTCCCATTTCATCATAGTCTGTACCCTTTCCCAGTGACCTAAGCTATTAAAAAGTCATGATCACAGATAACACCGCAGGTAAAATCATGTTCAAATAGCAAGTTTATTGAATACCCTAAATTGGTTTATTTTACTGACACAGACATTTTAGAAAGTCTAGTAACAGTGAACAAGCCCTATAAAGTAGATGTTAAGGTGTACAAAACAACATTAACTTGGCTTCATTTTACGTATACTCCGTTATATTTTATCAATGGCCACATACATATTAGACCGTAAAACAGCCCGTATTTTTGCCTTGGTTAAGAACGTGCACGCGAGCGGTTAAGTGAAAGGAAGGTTGAGTACGTGATACTGGGCCTACGGCCATGAGAGGCTTGCACGGTTCGCGCGAAAATCTCAAGCCGGCTCTTCGAGCCTTTGTATTACCGATTACATACACATTAGCAGCTTACATGCGTAGTAGAAGAAACAAATAAAAATATTACACTATGAAACCGTGTATAACAACAAATTCTAAAAACTTAATGTATAATATTAATAGGCCATCTTTGAGTTGCCCCATCTGTCTCCAAGCGAAATGATTGTGAGGAAAATCGGACTTTTTTTTACTCCCATGCAGATCAAACTTATTATCACAAAAACGATTTGCACTTAGCATTGCTTCGGAAAAGTGAGGGTTTGTGGAACTCTGAAATTGCCTGCTGATAACACATATTTTATCTTGATTAAAAACATCAAGAAAAGATCGAATTAGCTAAATACAGTAAAAACCCGCGACCAAGAGCTTGCGTTTTCACAAGTTAGCCTAAACAGGTTCTTACATAAAAGCATACATTGTATCCAGTTATTCCTTTTGTAAAACCCGCATACATTACATTACAGTTGAAGCTATAAGGCTTCTATGCCTCCAAGGAGGACCCTGAATGTTGAGTTATCTTCTAGTGCCTAAGTGTACAGATTTATTTTATGGGTTTTTAGCAAATAAAGACCTGTTTCAAATTTTAGGCTGAACAGGTTAATATAGAGAAGGCCTAACTGGCAAATTTAAAACCAAAGTTCTTAGTTGCTGGTTTTTACTGAATTGTATGTAATGCTTAAAACACGCGCTGTGAGTGATTTGAATAAAGAGCTTCAAAAACGTCCCCTTAGTATTTCATTTCAATAGGATTGATAAATAATGCATTGCAAAATGGAAAACAAAAGAAACCAAAATAACAAAGGCTGCATTGGTCAAATATTATGAAAATACATTGAACAACGGAAGTACACAGCCCCCCGAAAATAGGAGTTTAATGTGGGGAACCCACCCTGCGGTCCAGCCCCTTACCCTTTTATATACCATTTTTGACAGAAACTGGTACCCCTCGCATATACCTTCTATTGGAAAATGATATGCGGTTCACATACCTAGTTAACACTGTATCCCTTTAACTGCTGTAAATGCACTATCTTTTAAATATGAATAAATCGCTAAACTAGGATGTCTTTAAGACCATTTCCCAGCCATGAAATTCCTCTGTTAGCCGTTTTTTTTCCTCTCCCGCCCCTTTCATATACTTCAACAAGTGAAATCCCTACCCTTTTATATGCATGAAGACTGAAAATAGTACCCCTTCCGGGCGGAGCCTCCCGGTATAGGCCGTTATAGGGAGTACCCCTCGGGTTACAAAGTTTAATCGTCTATCTGCCTTCCCAATATGACTATCCAAATGAAGGAAATTTCAGCAGCTAAGTTTCATAATAATCGTAAAGGAGGGAAAAAAATGCTCGAGGAGAGTGTCAATTCTATTGAACAATTCCTTAAGTTCATTGGACATTACTCACGCCTACTGAATATTAACGAGTTAATATTTAATGGGTTTTTTAATTGGTTAAAGGAGCCATGACACGAGAATATTGCTGTTTTAGGTGAAATCTTTGCTGATCAGCTCATTACTTAGTGCCTTTAGCCACACACGAAAATGTTCCTGTAGAGTTATAAAGAAGATATTAAACATCAAACAAATTTCGTCAGGGAGCCGACTAACCATAATAATTTTTATGCATGGATAGCATTAAAACTTAAAAACGTTGGCTCATCCTTGCCAACCCTTTGCAACAACAACAAGAAACGTTTTCAATTCCCAAATATGTCATTAAAAAAAAATAAAACAAAACTGGACCATTGTTTTTGGAAATCAATTGATACGAAGAGACAGTTTATCCATTTTTAAAAGATAGTAGCAAATAGCGTGAGGTAGCCCCTTTAAATGAGCAACAGCTTCTGTATTTACAGTGTTTTTAGAGAGATTTTCGTATGACCTTGAAATGAAAACGCGCAAACAAAACAGAGACAACTTACGAAAGGAAATAGAGCGATCTGACTGGTTTATCGAACTGATACAAACGCAAGTGGCTTTTGGTTGGTTAAGCAAACATTCGGGTGAAATTAAACCTTCATGCCCGAGAACTTTCCAGAAATCAATTGATACTTCGCTTTGACGTCATACTGCAACATGATTGGCCAATCGCACAATGTCTTCTACATATTAGGGTTTTCTTTGGCGGGAAAACGAAGAGTCCATGTTTTGATCTTTTCATATATTCATTGGCTGATAAAACCAGTAACGAAATACTTACCGAAACCATTTTTCAGTCAAGGTCATAGGAAAATCGCTCTATCGATATAAAGTTTAGTAATAAAACTATGCATTAAACTACTATTTTCAAAAGTTTTTTTCATTCAACAAAAGAGCAAAAGTTGACATAGTTGACTGGTCATCATTTCAACTTAAAATAAAGTGTTAGATATGGTAAATTAACGGGCTTGAAGAGGAATAACAGCATTTTCTCTTTGTCGACGTTTAAATAGTATTAGGAGAGCTCTTCTGAACTCTGGCATTCTGATTGTGTAAATAATGGGATTAACAAGCGAGTTTGTGTGGTATAGAAGAATAAAATACAATTTCAAACGTAAAAATGTCGGGAAAGAAAGACTGTGTATAACATTCAAAGAAAGAAAAGTCAATGTAATATATGGTAACCACAACAGCAAAGATGCAATGGTCATAATAAATAATGTGACAGTCAGTTTTCTTTGTCTATTGGCAGCACCATGTGACGGAGGACGGGTTCCACACCAAAATTTTAAAGCAATGGAGGTGTACGAAACACAGATAACAACAAGGCAAAGGCAACAACATGAGAGCCATAAATAGAAAGGAAATAGCAATTGCCACTGTTGCTGTAGCCAGTCCCCATACCGAATTATTAACGGAAAGGGAATTAATATCAACGCAGTTAAAATCCAGACGCCCGCAATTGTTACCCCGTAGGCCCATTTTTTGATGTTGCGATGCCTGAATGGACGAAATGTCGCATGCATCCGATCTAACGAAATTGCTGCAATACCTGCTTCAGAGATGAGAGAAAGCCAGATGTCGATCATGACAAGCACAAGCAAGATAGGTTGCCATTCCTGCTTAAAAATAGAGGTGAAAGACACATTTCTAGCTTCGCAATCGTTGCGGAGAAAAACTAATACTATTATACTGATAGTGGAAATTCCTCCAACAAACATATCAGCCACGGTCAAGTTTATGACCAAGTACATGGAACGAGTGCGAAGATTACTGTTCTTTACAAAAATAATAATTGATAGGAGGTTCACTGCAACTACAGCAACCGCTATACTAAGGGATACAGCCAACCATGTGCTGCACTCGGCTGAAGAGATCGCCATGGAGATCATTGTTTCCTTTCAATTCTCTTTTCTCCTCCCTTCAGAAAGAAATCGAATCAAGTTTGGTTAGTAGTGAAAAAGGAAAGTTAGGAGATGAATTAAGAGGGCTGAAGTCGACTTCTTAAATATCAATTCTTCGATAGAGTGCTCACCTTAACGTAAATTTCTTGATACTTTTGTTAACGCTGCAATAAAACCCTTGCTTTCACCTGTGGAAAGAAAAAAATCAAAAGCAGCTGTTGAGGGGAGATAAAGATGAATAGGTTGACTGAAAACTGAGGCCAAAAAAAATAAAAAAAAATAAAAAATAAATGTTTTTCTGACAACCACAAGTATACAAGATACTTTTTTCATTAGATTTTGCCAAAACTTTCACAAAAAATGATTGCTGAGTTAAAATTTTTGTCAATATAAACTTCCCTTTTTATGACCTCAGAAGAACGAACAAAATCGTTTATTACATTTCTCAGCCTGTGCGGAGAACTAGGTAAGGAATGCACGCGCTTTCCCCTTCATCGCTGGTATCGCTATTATTTGCGCCCTAACTTTCTTACGCGACTGCTACCCACTCATGTCAACAGCTGCTTTCTGTTCACTTCCTGTAATCATCTAAGGGCTTTTAACCACAGTTATTATTAATTATGTTTTCCGTATAAAGGGTAGGTCCTTTGAAGCAAAAAAGAACATTTGTTTTTCAAAACATGTTGTAACATCCTTTCTTGTTTTAACCCATTGCAAATGTTTGGCTTGTTACTTGGTATTTTTTTACCTATCCTTTCCTATTTCTGTTATGATTCAGAACATAAAACAAAGGAAAATATTTTTAAAATTTCTAGTTACAAAAGAACAAAAAACTGAGGGGTGGATCTAGGGGAAGAAGGGAGGGGGTGCGCACCCTCCCCTGGGGTGACCTGCGGCTTTCTAATAAGATTGGTTTTCTGGGATGAAAAAAAAACTTGGGGTTTATTGGTGTTGAAGTAAAGCATGAGACGAGGTTGAAGAATTTCTGTTAAAGGCCATAAAAATGGTAGTTAATGTGACGATATTGCATTATCCAATCAGATTTTAGTATTTACATGTGCGCGCTCGTGCTCGCTTTGTCACAGTTTACTGTCATGGTCGCTTGTGAGTTCACTATGTTCTGATTAAACAAGTTGAAGTTTAAGAACGTGAGCCAATTCTTTATATGGTGTCAGAAGTAAACGGCCAGAACCGCGTTTTGTCAAGACAAGCAAGTTTTCATTGATAAATTCGCAGCTTAACACATTGAAGTCGTCGAAACCTAGTCAAATATACCGAGTGATGGTGATGCGAATTCAGGCGCTACCGCGTCCGCTACCGCACCTTCTGCAAGTATTATGGCTTCTTCATTTATGTGCAATGTATCTTTACCGCCGAAACTGGAAATACACAGTGGGAAACTGTCGAAAGAGTGGAAGCAATGGCGACAAGTATGGGATGCTTACGAAGAGGTGACCGACCTTCGAAGTAAAACGAGCCGCCTTCGCGTTGCAACGTTTATCACCTGCATTGGTAAAGAAGCCCTCGAAATCCATAATGGTCTACCTTTTAGAAGTGAAGAGGAGAAATCCGACATAACCAAGGTCCTGGAATTGTGGGAGACGCATTGCATTGGCAAAACCAATATAATTTACGAGAGATACAAATTCAATAACCGTTCTCAAGAACAAACAGAATCCATCGATACGTACGTGACAGCTTTGCGAGCTCTCGCCGAAACTTGCGAATTTGGAACCTTGAAAGACCATCTTATCCGCGACAGAATTGTGTGTGGAGTCCGAGAAAATGCTGTTAGGAGGAAATTACTGCAAGAATCTGGTCTTACTCTGTCAAAATGTGTGGATATCTGCCGAGCCGCGGAAGCTACGTCGGCACAGCTCAAAGAAATGGCACCGAGCCAACAATCGAGTGAGGTTGATTTGGTCGCGAAAGCAGAGCCTAAAAAACCAAATTCGCGCAAGGAAAAGAAGAAATCTCCTAAAGATCAGCTCGTCGAGGAATGCAAGTTTTGTGGCCGTCAGCATGAGCGTAATAGAGCGAAATGTCCCGCGTATGGTCAAATTTGTTCTTCCTGCGGAAAACCTAATCACTTCGCTGTAAAATGTGGTAAGAAATCCAGCGATTTCAAGAAGCCTTCTCAGAAATCCAAGCATAGAAAGGTCCATCAGCTTGCCGACAGCGATGACGCAAGTTACTCGTCTGAAGAAGAAATTTTGTCTGTGTCCTCTCAAAACGCTGTCAATACTGTGGAAATGTCGGAATTCAAGAGTAAAATATTTGCACACATCGAAATTGAAGATGTCTTAGTGAAGATGCAAGTCGATTCAGGAGCCTCGTGCAATGTGTTACCTCGTAAATTTCTGCCAAAAGATACTGTGGTTGACACAACCGAAGTAAAATTAACCACCTACTCTAAAGCTAGTCTGAAGGTACTGGGTGTGGCAAAAATCCAGTTGCGTAACCCGAAAAATCAGAAGAAGTACTGTGTTCAGTTTGTGGTCATTGATGAAGATTACACTCCACTCCTTGGTTCTACATCAGCACAGGAGATGGGACTGATCACCGTTCAGCATGAAAACATCCTAAATGTTAATGAAACTGTGGTTAAAACTGACTGTCAAGGTCTAACCATGGAGGAAGTTACTGCTTCTTACAGTGACGTATTTAAAGGCCTAGGATGTATGGAAGGAGCTCTTCACCTGGAAGTAGATATGACTGTTGCACCTGCAATTATGCCTCCTCGTCGTGTGCCTCTAACATTGAAGAATAGGTTAAAAGATGAGTTGACTCGCCTGGAGAAAGCAAGTGTTATAGTCAAGGAAGAAGAACCAACCGACTGGGTGTCTAGTCTAGTTGTTACAGAGAAACCTAACGGGAAGCTTAGAGTATGCATTGACCCTCAGCATCTCAATAAAGCCCTGAAAAGAAGTCACTATCCGCTTCCAGTCATTGAAGACATACTCCCTGAGTTAACCAATGTTAAAGTGTTTTCAAAAGCAGACCTTAAAGATGGCTTCTTGCAGATACAGTTAGATGAAGAATCCAGCAAGCTGACTACATTCCAAACCCCTTGGGGCCGGTACCGATATTTGCGAATGCCTTTTGGAATTTCTCCTGCACCTGAATACTTCCAAAGAAAACTGGATCAGAATTTAGAGGGCCTGAATGGAATATACAAGATTGCAGATGACATCCTTATTACAGGCCGTGGTGCAAGCATTGATGAAGCTGTGAAAGATCATGATGCCAATTTACTGAAGCTGTTAGACAGGTGCAGAGAGCGAAATTTGAAGCTTAACCGAGAGAAGCTACAACTGAAGTGTTCAGAAACGCCCTTTATTGGTCATGTCCTTACACCTGAAGGAGTGAAACCCGACCCAAGGAAAGTTGATGCCATACTGAAAATGGAAAGACCAAACGATGTAGCTGCAGTTAGAAGACTGGTAGGCCTAGTGAACTACCTGTCCAAGTTCCTAAGCAAGCTCTCAGAACTTTGTGAGCCACTGAGAAGATTAACTCACAAGGACGTTGAATGGAGTTGGTCAGCAGTACAAGAAGAAGCATTTCAAAGTATCAAGCATGCTGTCACTTCAGCTCCAGTCCTGAGATATTTCAATTCTGCTGAACCTGTGGAAGGTCAGGGAGATGCATCTTCCAGTGGTATAGGATTTGTGTTGATGCAGAATGGGCAACCTGTATCATACTCAAGTAGAGCTCTCACAGCCAGTGAGAAGAACTATTCTCAAATAGAGAAAGAACTATTAGCCCAAGTATTTGGAGTGGAGCGTAACCATCACTTTGTCTATGGTAGAAGAGTTGTTCTTTGGTCTGACCATAAGCCATTGGAGACTATTTGCAAGAAACCACTAGCATCAGCACCGAAACGACTCCAGCGCCTACTCCTGAGACTACAACAGTACGATGTTGAGATTCGTTACAAGCCAGGTCCTGAAATGTATCTAGCAGATACTTTGTCCCGTGCTTACCTGCCAACCACAGACCGCTCCTCTACTGAAAAAGAGGCCGAGCGAATCCATGCTGTCGATTTCCTAGCTATCTCAGAACCACAGCTTGTAGAGATCCAGCAAGAAACAGCTGCAGATCCTGTCCTACAGTCCCTCACTCAAGTTATCTTAAAGGGTTGGCCAGAGAAGAAAGATGATCTGCCAATAGAACTTCACCCCTACTTTGACGTCCGGGATGAACTGACAGCCCAGGATGGAGTTCTCTTCAAAGGTCTTCGATGCCTGATTCCATCAAGCCTCAGACCTAAGATCCGTGAGCGTCTACATGGTGCACACACAGGTATTGAAAGCTGTCTTCGCAGGGCTAGAGAAATTGTCTATTGGCCTGGCATGCCAGCTGAAATTAAAGATTACATCTCCAAGTGTGAAGTTTGCGCCAGCTACAAGAAAGAACAGCCCAAAGAACCACTGATCTCACACAAGATCCCAAGCCGCCCCTGGGAAACAGTTGGTTCCGACATCTTTCACTTTGACAATAGAGACTACCTCTGTACTGTGGATTACTATTCAAGCTACTTTGAGATCGACCCCCTCAAAGACAAAACTGCCAGCGAAGTCATCCATACCCTAAAGAGACACTTCTCAAGGCATGGAATCCCCAGTAAGCTGATGAGTGACAATGGTCCACCATTCAACTCCTATGAGTTTCAGCAATTTGCAAGCAATTATGACATGGAACATGTTACCAGTTCTCCCCATTACCCACAGAGTAACGGGAAAGTAGAAAACGCCATCAAGACCGCCAAGAGTTTATTGAAGAAATCTAAAGCTGCAAGATCAGACATCTACCTAGCCTTACTAGAGTGGAGAAACACGCCCTCTGAAGGTCTACAGAGTTCCCCTGCACAAAGGATGTTCGGGCGCCGGACTAGAACACTGATACCAACTACCAGTGAACTATTGAAGCCCAAAATAGTGGAAGATGTCCCAGGAAAACTCTTCAAGAGGAAACAGCTGCAAGCA